GGTGACAGGACATCTCCTTCATAAAGCGAGGGGGAATACTCTGGTAGTTCGATGTGTGTATAGGTGTGTGTGGTTAAACGTAGCAGCCTCGATCTCTATTCAGCGGTTCTAATGAAGGGAAACGCAGTGAAGTAAACAGTAAAAGGCACAGCTCTTTGCAGCTGGTGCTGCTCTTCTCAGATTCTGCTGAGTTACACGTTACTGCCTCCAGTGCCCTGTACGACGAAGCCAGTTCAACAGACCCTGGACCTGGACATGTTCGATTTACCCGGCTTAACTAACCCTAACAAACGCGATGTCGATAAGCGGTCCTACGAAGCTGGTTATCAACTCAGTAAATCAACCAGGGTTTCTCTGTCCGGCTGAGAGCGCGTTCATGTGAAAGGGACGGGGTTAGCAACATTTGACCAATCACAAACATGGAGACGCGTGCTGATAGCGCAGCGTCATACTTCATGAATGAATAGTGTAAATAGCAAATCCTGCTTCGTAGTATAGGCCACTGGTGCCGCAGAGATTTCATAAAGTGAAGGAGGTTTTCCTTCTATAAAACAGCTGTGGGCAGCAGATACTGTGAGTCACGGACAGGAATCCCTCAATATAAATAAAACGAGGCCACGCTTTAGTAACTCGTGCGAATGAGAAAGTAAAATGTGGCCACGTTTTATTTATTTTTCTCTCAATGAACCCTCCAGGGCTCCGTAATTTTGCCTAGTTAAACACATACAATATGTGCATTTACAGCTTCTTAATCTTAAGTAATTTGCTCTGCTTTATATGTCTTAACCCTGAGTACCTCTTAGTTTTTCCTTTGTGGTTTCAACATTTATTAAGTCATTGTTTATTGACACTTCCTACCTGGATAGATGTAAGAATTGAGGACACATCATAAGTGGGACTCCAACGGTTCTGTAGGATGTCCAAGCATATACTGCCATCTGCATAGACTGTGGATGAAAACACAATTACACACTGCACATAAATATTAACACTTTAATGTGTGAAGAGATAAGAACATATTCCTACCATTTGGATGAAACATCTTTGACACAAATCGTACTGTGGGGGGTTTGTTGGGGTATTCTTCTGTGAACTCTACAATGAGTTTAAATGTGCCTGGGACAAAGAGAAGACACAAAAACTATTTATTTATTAGCCTTAAAACCGGACTGCGAGTCAGCTGTTTAACACAACAGAAAAACACACATTTAAACACGACGCTGAAGTTGGCTTCCGATTCAGAGCATCCGATTCGGCAGTTAAGGGGAAAGTTAAGGGACATTTAATTTACAGCGCTGAGCGAACAATCCTCCGTGTTTGAACCTCTTAAATCGCTGCATAGCCGATTTATTTGGACTGGATTATCCCAGAGTCTAAAGATTATTTATAAACAAAGTTTGAGATTTGTGAAACCTTTATTCTATTTGTGAAAATACAAGAAGGCATAAAGGCTTGCCCAGCTGGGAGGTTCACTCTCTGATTCTGATCCTGGCCTGCTGCAGCAACCTCAGCCTTCCACCTGTGTTTGTATTTTCACAAATATAATAAAGGTTTCACAAATCTCAAACTGGGTTATAAAGAATGTTTAGACCCTCTGGGATAATCCAGTCCAGATTTGACGAGTGTAGGTCTAGTGGTTTCAGATCAGGACCTCGTCTAATGTGGTCTACATGTATAAAAAAAAAATAAAATAAAAAAAAAAGCACTGAAATCAATCAATCAACAACTTTATTAATCCCGCAAGGGCAATTGGTTATGAGCAGCAGCTTATGTCATGTACACAGGCAGGAACATACAAGAAGACAAACACACAGATACACCCGGGAGCACAGATGTGAATAATTCTAATTTACACTATAAATAGTTCAAAGCATCACAATAATAAATAAATAAATAATCAAGTTAAAAGCCTTTTCAAGAATTTAAAAAGGCTTTTAAATCTCCCTTGTTTGTATTTTCACAAATAGAATAAAGGTTTCACAAATCTCAAACTGTGTTATAAAGAATGTTTAGACCCTCTGGGATAATCCAGTCCAAATAAATCGGCTATGCAGCGATTTAAGAGGTTCAAACACTGACTGCCGAATCGGATGCTCTGAATCGGAGGCCAACTTCAGCGTCGTCATTTAAACGATTGTTTGAAAATGAGCATCTATTTAAATATATTCTAAATTAAATAATGGGTTTGCATGCTGTAAAGTTTCTATGTTTGTGTTGTTTTATATTCAATACAGTGACAATATGCCTGACTACAAAAAACAACAAGTTATTAACGTACCATCCTCAAAGGGAGTTCCTTCAGGGCTGTGAGGTTAGAGAAAAAAGAAGATTGTCATTGATTTTGAACGTCAAACACAAATTATTTCGATGTAAATGATGACTGTATCAATGTCTTACCCAAATATGACTGCATTCCACGCCATAATGTTGTTTTCAGATGGAGCACCACTGACACCCGCGGGAGGGTCCTCTTGTAGCCTTTATAAAAAAAGAAAACAAAGAAAGAAACGTTATTTATTTAGCCAGAGTTTAGTGAATTCAGTAATCTAATGACCTTTTAACAATAGGCCACAGACAAATATGATATTTTAAACAAGCAAAAGTGGAAGTAAAGGGGACTGAATTGCCACATTCAAATGATTACAGATCGATTACTTGACTACCTTGGCTGTGCCATTAAAACATTAATAATAAAGTTTTGCAAAAAACAATTGAGCCTGCTAGAAAGAAATATATACATATCATGAAAAGAAACTAAACAACAGTCTTTGTAAATCCCTGAAGTCAATGCCATCATGCTTAAATTGTGGATTGTTACCTCTTACCAAACACAACAGCTTCAAAGTTTTAGTTTGCAAACTAAGGATGGGACAGAGACCTTCATATTGTGGCAGCTCAAAGTCCAAGTTGAAAACATTGTGTAGGCATTGGTTCTATCTTTTTCTTTCTATTGACCCTATAAATAACACAAGGACAAATCTAAAAAGCCTTCGACATAAACCTAAGGACCCATATCTGTGTTATTCTTATCAGTCAGAAAAACAACCACTACTTGTAAAAGGTTTCACTAGCTTATGTAGAAACACTTGTAATGACCACTGAGTACAGACTTAGTTTGAAAAGGACTGTCTTAAAGAAGGGGTCCTGTATATCTGAACTCCACAACAATGCCCTGTCCAAATCCCTGCAGGTTACCACTTCCGGTCAGAATTGATAAGACAAGCTGACACTCAGGACAATCAAAGGATCTGAGGGAAATTAAATGTACAGTGAGGTGTACACACGTTGGAAGAAAATTGATATATAGAGGGATTTCTCTATTTCGTTATATTGGCCTGAGTGAAAAAGGCAACGTGTTCTGTTACTGAATAACAAGACCGTTTCGTGGTGACTGCAGAAGATGAAGTATACTTTTTATTTGGCTTTATGTTGTTCTTGCCTACAACACAATGTACTCGTCTGGGATTTCAGTATAATAATCCGTGTTGCTAGATCTTTAAAAACGGCTAATCCATCTATAATTACTAACACAAACGTTTTACTAACTATTTTAATGCTACAATTTAGGGACCCTATGATTCCAAAATAAGGTAAGCTATTGTTAGTTGGCATTGTAACTTACACCATCTTACCCCATATAATACAAAACAGCGACTGGTTTAAATTCACGGAACACTAACGTTTGATACATGGCATTACATTGATCTTGTCAATGGAAAAATAAATATATATTTAACTGCCAGCTAACAGCCATAAACTGGGACAGTAACTATATCGAATATTCTGCTAGCATTTATCGGTTAGCACTGTTAGCTTCTAGCTACGGGCGAAGCTCTTCTACAAAATCAGCTTTATTTCACTTCAATGTCCAAGGTTCATACAAACTCAAGATTAACTATACATTGTTTGCGTTACGTTAATGTGTTACTGTTTAGAATGTTTGAATCCAACTGTTACTATGAAAAAAATACAGGTGAGCTATTTCAAGCTAACGCTAGGCTAATGTTAGCTGTTTTTGACAAATCATCGACTTACCTTTTAAAATCTCTCATAAGTCTCCTTCTAGCCGGGGTGGACATGGTTTAAATTGTGAAACACGTAATGGTAACACTGAACCGTGAACAGGTGCGTATTTATCAAAAGGTAATATTGTTTTCACTAGTTATTTGGCACCTTCACAGTGACCCTGTTAGCACTAGCAGCAGCCAGAGTCGCTCTGCCGATAATCCTGATTCCTTGGTTAGGCCAGCTAGGTTTACTGGACGATACCAAATCAAGGAGAGAGGAGGAAACCATTTCAAATAATAAATGTCACAACACTTTCTGGCATTGGAATATCAGTACACACATCCGAAACGTTATACATACATGTGTGTTAATGCATTTCTCTACATACAGGGAAGATGCAGTTATGTATTACGTTATTGTATTAGAACAGCCTTTTCCTTCCCCCCATTCGCATTAGGGGCGTCCAGGGCTCTGGGGGCGTCGTCTGCCGCGGGGCGTGGTCACAGTGACGCGTTGTTTGTGCAGCGCAGCTCTGACGACGGCCGCCCCTGGAGACAGGTGCTTGATGACCAGAAAGTACACAACTAAAGCTGTGCAGGCTGGAGCGAGTTTATATTTGTGTCTCTACAAGTAGCCTATAAAGGAAAAAGCATCCTCTTTTAAGTTGATATAAATTAGCTATAAATCTATACCCAATGGTGTATTACAATTAATGAATAGTTATACATGCAACATTAACATGTTCCTAGAGTTGACTGCACTCATACATCGTTTTGATATGAATAACAGATGCACCAGACGACATCTTGGAAGATAGTCCCATGTCCAAATTTTTTGTATTCTCCTTTTACAGACACTTGCATAATGCTTCTAGAATTCTGCAAACAAAACGTGCACAATAGGTCTAAAAAAGTTACATAAAATAAGTTAAAGACCCATTTGTAACAATGTTTTCTCTTTCTTTCTGCAACAAAAAGTAAATTCCATCAAACTTTAACTTTTGCAAAAACATTTTTTTTTAATTCTTGAGAGTAACATGGGATGAACTCAATGTTTTTCTTAACATCACGAGGCAGGGACCCCCCACACTCCCACTTGACACAAACAAAATGTAAGTATTGTCACTGGTTAGTTTAGAGTATATTAGAACAAGGCTATTTACAGTTGGATCAAACGTTAATTATAAACAAAAAACACTTTCTCTTTAACAAAACAAACTAATCCACTTCTTAATCAACAATCAATCAGTAACATATATCAGTCCACAACAATGGGCCTGCCCTTTCCAAAACCAAAACCATTCAATGAATAACTGCACCACTCAATGGCTTTAAGGCAAATCAACACTTTTTTTTAGGCTTATATGACATTCAGGCAAAAGCGGACAGCCTGTCAACATCTTTTGTACTTTAGGATCCATGGTAAAGGAGCATGGTGGTGAAGAAGGCATGGTCGTACAGCTGCTCTGCCTTCACAGACCTCTGGTGCTCCACCTGGCTACCTGCGCTGCCGCCGCTCTCAGAGGAGTCGCTGTAGAGGAGCTGGCTCTGGAGGATCTCAGCTGCAGGATCACACCAAACTGAAGGCTGTGGTAGATTGTGACCATTTGAGGAAAAATCCCCACAGAGTCTCTCACCTGCCACTGAAAATGAGACAAATTGTCAAAGGGGATATATACTGGATATAATAAGTGTTACCGTATTCCTGCTTCTTTAAATATAACAAGAGAGACAGGGAGGATTGATTTTGTTTTGCACAACTATTAGAAGGGCATTACAAGCAAATACTTTTAGAAAAAACCTTTAGAAAAGTAAATCAACAGTTTTCAAAGTAAATTCCAAAGCCTTACATTAAACCACATGTTTCCTGCTGTTTCAATCCTGATCTGAGGTTGCTTTGACCTAGTTACAGCTGTATGTCAAGGACACGTTTCTGTCCCCACTTTGATAGTTAAAATACCCCTCAAGGAAACCTTAAATCTACAAGACATGTTGGCATAATCCCAACTCAAATTAGAGAAGTTTAGTCCTTGTTTTGCACTTCAGAAACAGGACTTGACAGATGCATGACGATACAGTACATCAAGAAAACAAAGGTCCACCACAGTCACATTTATCAAATTAATCAACATTTAATGATTTCACACAATAAAGTACAAAGCTCAACCTTCTCAGTACTAAGCATCGGATGTTCCAAAGGTAAAGTCTATACACTCAAATGTTCAGCCATGTCGAACGAAATAAACAAAAAACTGTAACATGAAACACAAAATTCAGAAAGAAGAATGTCCCTTACCAAAAGTTATTGTTCCACTACTCAATACAGCTCAAGAAATAAGGCTTTTTGCAAATCCATGCAAACTTTCTTGAGCGGTATGGTTAACTCATAACTACTCATTGTAAAATGGCCAAGTACCAATTACAAAATCAGACTGGTTTTAGAATATAACATACAGATGTGCAAGCTCTGCTATAGTTGCCTAATAAACATTCACCATATTTAACCATCAAATAAGCACAGCCCAAATAAACGAACGTGAAAAACAGGAATAACCAAACTCCAAGTTAATGGAACACAATGTCTGAGTACATGACATCTACAAACTACAGGAAAGCTGCATTGTTTATACTTTACGAGCTACATTCATTTGGGGATATGCTTTGGCATATACAAATTCTGGAATACAAAACAGCATCAGCTAAAGTGTATATTAAAAGAGTGCTAAGGCCCTAATCATTTTTATATAAATGTCATAATAATCAATCAGCTTCAGTAAACTCAACATATCACTAAAAGGTAATCACCATGTAGATATTACATATCATGTCTATATAGATTTCTCTTAATAGGATTGCAAAGAAACACTTTTTCTAAGCTATATGGGATGATCATACTTTAGCCATTCCATACGGAAAATCAGACGTTACCGTAGTAACATATGCAGGTGACCAATGAAGTTGACCTTTTTCCTATTATGCAACAGGTAGTCATGACTGATTTAGAACTCGACCAAGATTATTTTTATCCATTGAGCCAATATGACCTACATTCGGTTGCACTGCTGTTTGAAGGGAATGCCAATAAGTTTGCGTTATCTGGGATGCTGCCGTATAATTGTGCAAAACAAAACTCCTTTTATCATGAACCTTAAAAATAAAAAGGTATACACAACAACTATCTGTATAACTGGACGGATGCATTTAGTATAACAAAGAAATCTCTTTTTTTTGTATCCGTCAGAGTATAGTTAGGTACATGGAAAAGTATAAAATACAACACACACTGATATACATTGTTCAAATGTAGCTTACCACCAAATCAAAACAAATGTATCTTTTATGCATGCAGTATGCAAAATTAAAATGTGCCCGACGATACCAAAGAGATATACTGCACAATGTGAACATTAGCACAAGCCCTCTACAGGTAGGCATAAGAGTTGGTGCAGCGACATGGGGTCTGCATCGATGCCACAGTGATGACCTCCAGCTCTTTAGTGGCAGGGCAGGACCTCTCCGGCCCCCCTCTGTCCGCACACTGATCCACGGCCCCCAGCACTTGTGAGGGTGCCACCCCATTTAGCCCAAAAGCAAAGGGTCCTGGCCCACCTGAGGTTACAGTCGACTCCATGTTCATGGTTTCCATCTGGGCTTCTCCAGCACCACCCAGTGGCCCGCTCCCATTGCGCAGCTCTGCTGGCATGCCCAGACCTGAGAGCAAGATGCAGACACAAACAATAGGAATGATATTCGAAAAAATAACTTTTTAACTTCAAACATGGCAGAAAGTCTGGGTTAAGCTGTTAGTCCCCAGCTGCATATCTTTATGCGCCTGCATCTACTTGAAGACTAGAGAGTACAAGCTCACTATTGCAGGGCGCTCAGGCAGTACCGCAGTAAAACCACCAGACTCAGGGACAGTTGTATCCCACAGGCCATAAGGCAAGGCTAGGCAAGTTTATTTATATAGCACTTTTCAACACAAGGCTATTCATAGTGCTTTACAAAAAATGAAAGACATTAAGAAAATGGCATTTAAAATCAGTCATTAAAAAGAAAAGCTAATAAAATAAACATTAAAAGAAAAAATACATGGATAAAAGTTACAGTGCAGTCTAAGATATGAATAGTTCAATTAAAAGCAGCGACAAAAAGAAAAGTCTTCAGCCTGGATTTAAAAGTAGTCAGAGTTGCAGCGGACCTGCAGGTTTCTGGGAGTTTGTTCCAGATATTTGGAGCATAATAACTGAACGCTGCTTTACCATGTTTAGTTCTGACTCTGGGGACAGAAAGCTGACCAGTCCCTGAAGACCTGAGAGATCTGGATGGTTCATAATTTAGCAGGTCAGAAATGTATTTTGGGCCTAAACCATTCAGTGCTTTATAAACCAGCAGCAGTATTTTGAAATCTATTCTTTGACACACAGGAAGCCAGTGTAAAGACTTCAGAACAGGAGTGATGTGATCCACTTTCTTAGTGTTAGTGAGGACTCGAGCAGCGGCGTTCTGAATCAGCTGCAGCTTTCTAATAGATTTTTTAGTGAGACCTGTGAAGACACCATTGCAGTAGTCGAGTCTACTGAAGATAAAAGCATGGACAAGTTGTTCCAAATCCTGCTGTGACATTAGTCTTTTAATCCTAGATATATTCTTTAGGTGATAGTAGGCTGATTTAGTAACTGTTTTAATGTGACTGTTGAAACTCAGGTCAGAGTCCATGACTACACCTAGATTTCTGGCTTTATCTGTTGTTTTGAACAATGCAGACTGAAGCTCAGCGCTAACTTTTATACGTTCTGCCTTGGCTCCAAAAACCATTACCTCAGTTTTATCTTTGTTTAATTGGAGAAAGTTCTGACACATCCAGTCATTGATTTGTTTAATGCACTTACTCAGTGTTTGAATTGGAGCAGTCTCCTGGTGAAATTGTTATGTAAATGTGTGTGTCATCTGCAGAGCTGTGGTAACTTATTTTGTTGTTTTTCATTATCTGAGCCAGTGGTAGCATGTATATGTTAAAGAGAAGAGGCCCCAAGATGGAGCCTTGAGGAACCCCACATGTCATATTTGTCAACTCAGATGTGTATTTACCTATAGAAACAAAGTTGTTTCTGTCCTTTAAGTAGGATTCAAACCAATTCAGAACTGTTTCCGAAAGTCCCACCCAGTTTTCTAGTCGGTCTAGTAATATGTTGTGGTCAACAGTGTCAAACGCAGCACTGAGATCTAATAATACTAACACTGAAGTTCTCCCACTGTCTGTGTTTAAGTGGATGTCATTGAAGACCTTTACAAGAGCAGTCTCAGTGCTGTGGTTTGGACGAAAGCCTGACTGGAACACATCGAAACAGTTATTTGAATGCAAGAAATTACTCAACTGTTGAAAAACAACTTTTTCAATGATTTTACCTAGAAATGGCAGGTTTGATATGGGCCTGTAATTGTTCATTACTGAAGCATCTAGATTATTCTTTTTTAAGAGCGGTTTAATGACTGCAGTTTTCAGGGCCTGTGGAAAAATACCTGAGTGAAGAGACTTGTTTACTATATGAAGTAGATCTGAGGCCATGCAAGGCAAAACATCTTTGAAAAATCCTGTTGGAATAATATCAAGGCAGCAGGAGGAGGATTTCAGAAGTTGAATAATGTCCTCTAGGTTTTTATCATTAATCTGATGGAATTGTGTCATGTCTGAATTGATGTTAAGTGGACACAGAGACAACACATTTGCTGTTCCTGATGCAGAGGCACTGACTGCTTGTCTGATTTTGTCAGTGAAAAAGGAGGCAAAATTCAGAGGCTACTGACACTGGGGGATTAGTTAGTCTGTTGACGGTAGCAAACAAGGCACGTGCGTTGTTTTTGGTAATGATGTCAGAGAAGAACGATTGTCATGCGTTTTTCAATTCCAAATTATAAAGGCCAAGTCTCTCTTTATAGATTTCAAAGTGAACCTGGAGTTTTGTTTTTCGCCACCTGCGTTCAGCTTTTCGACATCCTCTTTTTTCTGTTTTCACGGTCATGGCCTTTCTCCATGGAGATATTTTCTTGCCAGACACTTCCTTTACCTTAGTTGGAGCAATGGCATCTATAACATTTTTAATTTTTGAATTAAAATGATCTACTAGCTCATTTACTGAGATGTTAGCAGGGGCAAGTGTGGAAGAAAAATTCTGAGTAAACATTTCCCTAGTATTTTCAGTTAAATATCGCTTTGTGGTTACCTCTTTTTGAACATTTTTGTGAACAGAAATAGAGCTCTCAAAGAAAACACAGGAATGGTCAGAGAGTGCAAAAACACAAGAATGGTCAGAGAGTGCAAGACTGTTAAACACCTGAGTTCTGTTGAGTGCCTAGATAAACATTCATCTGATTGTCATCTTGCAATCTACTTATTTATCTAAATAGTTATCACCGCAATAAACCGTATTTAATTTCGTGTTAATGTACAATATTTAATTTCACATTCTGTTCTTGTACACATCATATTCTATTTATGTATTTATCTATGTACGTATATAGAGTCTAGACTTCTTGCAATATTTTTTATTTGTATTTTATTATATATGTTGCATCGTTGGAAGAGCTCGGGTCATAAGATTTTCATTGCCATTTCTACATTTTAGCTTATGTGAATATGACAATAAAAGATTTGAATCAATTAGGATAAATAAGCTCTTTCTTTAACAGATGGCATTCTAATTCTGCAAGATTACATCAAAAGTTGGTTTATAATACAAAACCACTGCATTTCTGTCTACAGATAGGGTACATTTAATGACAGTTAACCTTTTTGATCATGTCATGCACGCAGACAGATTCCACATGGGGCCGTATTGTCTGAGTAATTGTCTTGAGCAGCCGTGTCTGGTCATTCTGTCCAGCATGACTTAATGTGCAGCAGTCTAAACTAAAAATAGATGTTCCAGCTGGAGCAAAGGGAAGTTTACCTTTAATCCCAAAGTAACAATAGAATCTGATGAGCTGAGTGACCTACCATTAGGTCTAGCCTTCTTCCCTGGGTTTGCTTCCATGCCATCAAAAGACCTCTTTCTGTTGGGCACGCCATTCAAGAAGCTGCGTCCCTGGATCGTGGGGCGACCGTGGCCCCCATTCTGGGTCATGCCATTCAGAAAAGTTCCGTTGTGGGACTGAGCCATGTTTTGTTGGAAGTTCTGGGCATTGGAGAGTATCTCAGCGCACTCCTGGAATCCCTGGGCGTGGGCCAGGTTGGCAGCCGTCAGCCCACTGGCATTCCTCATACTGCACAACGAGAAGGAGGCGTGTTAGAGACACTCAGTGTACCTTTGATTGACACAAAAACAAACAAAAATAAGACACACCCAAACGCGCACACAGTCACACACACATACAGACTCTTCACACACAGACAGACACACAGATGTAAAGAAATATCCTGTGCTGCTCTACCCTCTCACATCTTCTTCGTCATCCTCATGAGATGACGACTGATCCTTTTGGATCATCTGCATCTTCTATAAAACTTAAACCTTGACAGTTTCCAGAAAATAAGGGAAACATGTCTGCTGCAAGAAGACATGATTAAGACAAATGTAGGTGCATTTGTTTTGATGAGAATGTGAAATAATCTGACTAAGATGTTGCTATAAAAAGATCCGTTGATTTCTGAGATGTAAACAGCTTGGTCTTGGAGAAATGCGTCATCAAGGGGGATTTGCAAAGGGTGAAAGGCTGCCGTCATCTCACATTTCCACCAGGAATACTTCTCAAGGATTTCTGTAAAGCTGCATCCAAACTCCAGTCGATGATGTAGCCAAATCTCAGATTAAAGTTGCAAATAAAACCCGGAGCGGCACACAAGTCCCTGTATGCTGTGTATAATGAGTGTGTGTGCGTGTCAAGTGGAAAATAACATGTACTCCATTAAAAGCAAGAGTGTAGAATTCTTCTGGTACAGGTCGATCATTCAGAAAGGAGGCCCTGATGCAAGTTGTATCTTCAGAGGAAACTCGAACCAAGGATTAGGAAGGAGAATGAAACGAAGACAAATCTTCAACCATTAGACATCCTCACGCCTTTTTGGTTAAGCTGTAAGGATTTCTTCTTGTTTCAAGAATGATGAGCATGAAAGAATAATAAAGAGAGATTGTACAACTATTTATAAGTCCAATTCAAGTTGTTGCAATGTGTACAGTTGTGTTAATCATATCCAGTTGCAGCAAAAAGGGAGTTTTTCTTTAGTTCAATAATGAATGAGCAAACAGTGCCGTGTCATAACCTTTACATTTTCTTACCAGAACATGGCACTTCAGCATGGAAGCAATTTCACTGCAAATGAAAACCACGACAGATAAACTTATTATTGCAAATGAGTAATACTAATTTAATAAGGAATACTCTATTTGTATACGTAATTAAGTAAAAAATGCTGTTGGTGCAGCGATTCCCAGATAACATGTTCTCATGCTGATGTGAGATTATTGTGGTGGATAAATGTCTGCCAGTCTTCCTCTAATCAACACAGGCCGTTTATCCTAATGATGAGAATGCTCCCGTCTCCATTGGCCAATTACACAACAATACGGCACTTGTTCTGTCTAAATGTCTCTGCAAAATGAGTTCTCTACGCAAACAGTCAGGTCTTTGTCTGAGAAGCGGGACTCTGGCCCGCATCCAAGCAAAGGAGACACAGAAATATATATCATTCGCAGGTACATTTATATATATGCACGAGACAGCAGGAATTGTATATTTAGCAGCATTCTTACTTAAACGTTTTGAATGGTTTATTCTAACATTATTTTGTATTTATTTAATTGTATTTAAATGTGGTGTGTTAAAACCAAGTGACATTGACTTCCATAGAGCAATCGAATTAATTTAAAATACACTGTTACTGTTTGGTCATTCATTCTGTGTAACAATTGTTCTGAAACTTCTCTGCATTTTATCTAAACAAAAAAATAACAGTTCAACAGCTAATGCACATGGAAAACATTTCATAAAGAATATAAGACTGAAAAAAATTAAAATAAAATCACAATATTTTGTTGCACATTACCCGTCCCCATCAAATTAACGCTTCCAAAGGATTAATCCAAAAGATTATTTTTACATTTAAACAATTTAATGGTAAGATAGATGGGTAGGTCTCACTCTCAGGAACATACATCTAGAAATCAAAACGGTTAAAACTTTTTTTTGAGTTTGAAAAAAGTTAAGTTAAGACTCAACAATGCTGTACTTGTTGAGGCCCCAGTGAATAAAAACACTGCGGTTAGCAAATGTAATTTTAAGGAACTGATGTTATAATCCTAACCTTTAACAAATATCAATAACTGTCAAATACATTTATTTAAATGTGTTGCCATGTTTAAAATAACACAAAGTACTTGTTATATTTTTAGAGCAGAAGAAGTGCAGTGATCAACTCTGCAGCCTCTGGAGTCACTTAACCTTCCCATGTCGCCAAATCTGGCTATCTCAGTTTCCTCAAGCTAAAAAACGGTTAAACTGAGGGTGGCTGTTAAGTCATCCGCTCACTTCAGGGAATAAAACATCTAGTTTTTACTGACAAAGATTACCAGATGTTTGCTCATCCAACCCTTGTTTAATGATTGGACCAAAAATAAGCATTGCATATATACGGTGCTGTAGCATTACAACAGCAGATGTTGAGAAATATGTTTTTGTCTTGGATCCACAGAAAGAAAAATGAGATATTTTAAATAGGTGATTGGAGCACACATATTTAGCTTAAACGAGATAAGAATGATTATAAAACGTATACATTTTTTCACTTGCTTCTATTCTGCATACTTAACTCATGCAAAATCAATAGTACCTTCACAATGTCCTAAGAGTGTTCCTTAAGTGAGACCTGACATCTACAGTAAGCGCTGATCCAAAAAAAGGATAACAGAGTATTTTATTTACCCAGGTTGTGTGGAAATTTGAAAAGGAAGCGTTAATTCTTTGTAATTGCCTGGTATGCTTTGCTTTTCCGTCCTAAGCACACAATATGCATCTTCTCTAACTATCCTCTAACCTTCCAGAGGCAGCCTAATATCATGCTACATGTTGACATGGGACTCACGTGATTAAACCTGTCCATATAAAGGGCTCCTATGGTTAGTTCACAAAATAAAATAAAAAATTATAAAATAAAAACAAAAAGACTAGATACAGGAACAATCATGGATAATAAGCAAAGCATGCAGGTCTAAAACTTCAGTTTTGATTCATAAAAACCTAGCATTAAAACCAATCACCGCAAGAAATACCTCAACAGTTTGCCAGTGTGTAGATAGGAAGCGATAGTGAGAACACTCAATGCCACAACAGTGCGGCTATCCCAGGGAACGGGGCAGACTCAGCAGTGTCTATTCTTCCCCTTTCTAGGATTACTTGAAAAAACCAAGTCATTTCCAATTCAATGGCTGCAAAACATTAAGACGTACGATTCTGTTTCAGTATAAAAAAACTTTTTTTTTAAAACTTATTGTCACTTTCATAAAGGAAAAGGTGACAAAGATTAGATGTCAAAACAGACTATGATATTGTATAGGGTTAATACTGTGACATTCAAAATAAAACATTTCTGTGTATGAAGTAAAATATTTGGTACAGTGAAATGACAGTGAATAACCATTGCAACAGGATGATTGTTAGCATTACACAGTTCAGTACATGATGGTATGCAAATCTAACTCATCTCACTCCGCTAAGCCTCTGTCTCTGCTCTACTCTCGTCACCGGCAGCCCTAACTCACTCCTGCCTGCAGCTAGCTCGCTAATAGAACACCTTAACATCTCGAGGCTCATGACAAATGATACAAAAAAAATGCTTTGTTGACATTTTTTTTAATTCGTTTTTTTCCTAATTTTGTTTTGTATAATCCATTTAGACCATTTTTCTTATATTTATTTTAATATAAAAAGGTTTTCATTTTCAACCACAGTAGATCAAGTAAGGCTATTTTATTCTTTGAGACTAATAGATTTGAATTATATTCTTTAAAGTGTCCTTTAAGAAAAAGTCCCTTTAGTTAAAGTTTGTTATTTCTTCATTTTTGCAACTCGTAAGGACTGTGAACGAACAATTTGATGGGTTGAAGATAAGAGGAATCGATCAAATAAGACCAGAGTTTTCATCAAGGATGGTAAGACAAAAAGAGTGTTCCAGTCTTTCAGAACTAAAATAATCCAGATGTAGTACTTTCTGACCCAATGGAAAGTTCTTCTCCTTTTTCTGATGGGACAAGGATGAACATCACTTGAGGATTTAGCGCAGTTTACTCTTCTGTCATTCAAATACTACATGTATTGTAGTCCCATCGTCAGGAATTGGGGCTATCCAGGCCAAGTGAAAATTCCTGCGCAAAATAGGGCCATCAGTGTGTAGGTTTTGACATGGAATCCTTAGTAGTAGTTGAAATATTTTCTACTTGAAGTGCTCAGAGCAGCCGCACAAAAAAGGCGATGCACCGGGAAAAAAAGACCTTGGGCATGACGCTCTCTAGGTGGCTGCACATGCACTCTGTTCGCATCAGAATCAACTGAAAAAAGACGCTGGCGCTTTAAAAAGTTGTATGTGGACACGGCCCTATACTTTGATACGAGTGTCTCATAGAAGGTCTCAACAAGGTAAAAAAAATATATATATATCCATTTTACTCCAACGAATAAATCAAGAAAAAATTCTTCACTTGAGCTCAGTGTTTCCGCCAGACCAGGGCTGAGAGGGCTTCCAAGTGACGTCACGTGACTTGAATTGAGCCGTCCCTTACGTTAGTGATGGGAATTACGGCTCTTTTTAATGAGCCGGTTCATTTGGCTCGGCTCACTAAGAAGAAGAGCCGGCACTTTTTACCAGTTTACCACGGAGCCTCAGTTTTGCCGCTGCAAGGCTCCGGCGCTCATCAAGTCCAAATCGCGCACGTTCCGTGTTGTCCTGTGGCAGGCACCGTGGGTCCAAGATACGAAAAGCTGAAAAGAGGCCGATGTCGGGGAAACGATCTTCAATACTCCGAAAATAATCCCACCAGGCTCCTTTGCCCCTCCAACAGAGGGATGTCCTTGTCCTTTTCGTAATTTCAAGCGATAAAAACTCTTGGGGACGCCCTCGGCTCGAGTTCAGGGCGTTCCGAGCTGAATAAGGCCGTCAAATGACGGCAAGACGCCCCCCTGGCGGAAACACTGCTTGAGCTTATCTCCTGAAATACTGGACAAAGAGTGTATCGCGCTTCACTGCAGATTGTTCACTGGCGTCTCGATTTGGTGGCAGAAGCGCGGAGGAACTTCTTTTGATGCGACGTCTTCACAGATGAAAGAAACCAGCCCGCGTCAGACCAGCGAAATGACAAGATATCTTAAGCGGGTAGACTGAAAGATTGCAGGTATCTAGTAAAATGTTTGTGTTACCTTTAAAAAGGCCATTCATAAGATCTGACCCAGGTTTTAGCCTAGAATAAAAGTTAATTGAGCTTAAATTAAATTGACGTTCATCGTCAATTGCTATCGGTTATTTACAAGGAGAATACTTAGACAGATGTAATGTATTATGTATATTGTTGATTTGTTTAAATATTACTATATTAATATTACAATAAAGAAATGTGTTATAACTTAATTTCACAGCCTATTGAACTCAATTACCCACTGTTTTTAATGCATTTGTGTTGCACCTACTAAAGAAAAGAAAACGGGATAGTAATCAAACCTGGATTAGTGAGTGTTATGTAGATTGCATGCCAAGCTATTTTAATATTTCAAATATTTGTATTTATTAACTTATTGAATATTTTCTTCAGCATATCAATACAATATATATTTGCTTCTCCATCAAAGTGCCTAAGGATTATTTGCCTTTCAATTTTGTTTAACTTTGGGTAATCTTTATTTTTTACGTTAGACCCCGCTATTCGTGTGATGCGTTGTTTTCTTATGCTTTTCAGGACTCTGCGTGGTCTTTGTTTGGTTTTATGTTAACCTTAATTTCTGCCTCATGTTGTTATTGTAATTATGTTTCTTTAGTCTTAATTTGAACTTTTGTTCTTTCTTGAGAAGCACTTAGTGAATTTTATTTCTGTGAAAGGTGCTATACAAAATAAACGTATTATTATTATTATTCATATTTTTAATAAGAAGGATCAGTGATACATTTTAAAATACGTTTTTTTTATAGGTATACTCATTTTGAAGTTAGTTATTTTGTCATGAGCCTCATTCCCGCCTAGTGTGCCTCTCATAGCTTCCCTCCCAGTTGTACCTCTATTCATTTCTGGGTCATACATTGAAAAGATAACCTGATAATAAACTGAACTAAATGCACTACCTATAATCTGCAGGAGGGAAAAAATAAATCACACATCATTTTCATCATATATATTACTCATCAGCTGATAACCAAATGCACATTACAAGACCCCGATAAGAAATCAAGCATGTTTTAAACATGTATACATGAACAAATTCACTTTAATTTGGCTAGTTAAAACAGCCAAATAAACCAGGAGTTTCATAGAAAAAGAAGGTTTAAATAAGAGTATAAATCTAATCACCTCGTAGTTTACAGTCTGATTTATAATTCAAAAACAAAAAAGCGATGCGTCTCAACAATTAGGAATAACACACTTGTATAAAAATGTGTTTAGGCCTTTTATATCTAGTATGTGTTATGTGACTAAGGCCAATAACAAACTACAAGGTGAATACATAAACATACGTGAATGTTTCAATAACCCTGAAAAAAATGTGTGTTAGCATTGTTTGCATTCCTCTTTGGAACCAGAATTAACTGGAGGCCCAAACGTCAGCATAACTGGTATCAAACTGAATTAAATATATATTAAAATGTTAAATACTAATGTGATCTATCCTCATGTGCACCAGTGCTAATAAGTAGAGTCTACATTCACCATGGTGAATCTAATATTACTTTTTCTCTTGCCGTAATTTGCTGAGCTCAGATTTATAAAGACCACCATATTCTCTCTGGATAAAAACATTAAAAAAGCTACACAGATAATTTGCACTTCTGAAACCCCTGGTTTGTTTTGGATCTCTGGATGTCAAAAGGTATAAAAGGAAAAGGCATATGGCAAAAAATGAAACTGCAAGTAAAAGAATAGCCAAGAAAGAAAAGGTTTAAGATTTAAATATGAATCTTTGTTTAAAATATGCTGCTGTGTTAAATGTCAGCGTCATGTAATTTTATATTGTTACTCTAGTTTTAAAAATATAGATAAATTAAAGAAACTATGAAAAAGTATTAATTACAAGCAGCTCAAATAGTAACATTTACATGCTTGAATAAGATATGCTAGAAGTTAGGTTAGGCACTTTGTCCTTTGTGTTGACGGCTGAACATGGTCTTTGGGAAATACCAACTATGATCGGTTAAGACGTGAAAGGCAACACAAACGTAATCCATTGTAATGGTTGTGTCTCTCTTCAGGTCATACAAGATCTAATTTTAAGTAACAAGAAATATGGGTAGAGTCTCTTCTGCCTTTCTTCACGCTTCAGGTGCAACAACAATAACAGAATGTATTCTTTTAAATGGTAACACACAAAAAGAGCTGCCAACTAAAAAGGTGTGACTAAGCACTAGGCTTTAGGAAGATTATGTATACACTATCTGAATACCACTGAGACACAGGGTAGCATTCATTATGGAAAATTCATTATCTGATCATCTGTTTTCTTTTGTTTTTATTTATCTTCGTAGTGCTAAGAGCTTTTTTTGTATGCTTTAGCTCAATTGACATATGCTTTTACACATGTACGAAGGCAGGATCCAAAACTGTTTCTTTAAACTAGGAGATATGGTATTCCAGTTATTGTGCAGGTTCATAATCATTTAAATATGCAAACAATCATGGATGATCGATGCATTTTCATTTTTTGCAACATAATTATAGCCTTTTCTTACTAAATGTAAAAGGGCCTCAGAAAAAAAGAGGGAATGTGCATTTGGTCATCTAGCCAAGCTGTATATGTAAGACACTTACCAAAACAAATATTAATAACAAAGAAAACCACAAATCTAGATTGAACAAAGATCATGCAATATGGCCTACTAGACTAAGAACAGTTTATCAACCTTTACATCACGTTGTCCTCTGGTATGTGTAACTATTGTTCTAGTTTACAAAGCCGTCAGTTGAAAGGCACGGCGAGTTAATGATCTACTTGTATTCAAAGGGCAGTGCAGCTCTTCCTTAAATTACAAAGGCAGTATGAAAGTTTCTGTTGAATGTGAAGGAAAGTTACTTAAAACAATTTCTGATAAAAACTAATACTCCTCGCCAATGTTTTTACACAAAGAGGACAACTTAATGTGAATTGTTGCAACGATAAACAACAATTTCAAGGATTAACAAAATGTGTCACGTTTTCAAGAGACCACCACCAATTCTGTTATTTTTCTATTTTAAAACTCATCTCATCCTCAAACCATTTAAGCTGGATGGTTAAAGAATGATTTTGTCTTGTAAACTTAAGCATTATGCAACCGAAAAAGGGTTCAAGCTATATAAAAGGAGTTAAAATGTCCTGTTGTTTAATAAACTGCACACAGCTTATTTTAAAGCCACTGGCAAAATATATAAATGTTTCACACAATTCCTTTGAGTTTATTTGAACACCAGCATTAAACTCACAGTAGCAGGACAAGGTGGTGTTTTATTTGCAGGATATTTAAAAGACGAAGTCTTCACTTCCCTTAAAAGTTGTGCTTATTTTAAACTTATGTCCAGCAGTGTTTATTTACGATAGAGCCTAAAGTAAATTATTGTAAAGTTAGCATTTAATTGAGCAGCTTCCATCCAGCTGCATCTGTGAAGAACAGCCATAGTATATAATTGTTAAGCTCTAAATGACGTTTAAGTATTTGCATGTTTTACAAATTCATAATTTCTTGAATCTAACATTCAGACCTGTAAACTGTATTTGATGAGCCTTTGACTCTTGAATTTGAAATACTGTGGAAGGGTAATTTAAATGTAATCACTGCTCTTATTTGAGTTTGGTGGTGATCCCTTGCAAAGGTGTAACTGATGTTGGATAGTACAGAGGGAAAGAAATGAAGTCACAGATCTGATCACAGGACTTACTCAGCTTTCGCTCCCTGAATCAAGAGAGTGTTGATACACTCCAGACTGCCTGCACGAGCAGCCTTGTGGATGGGCGACTCGCCCACATAATCCTGATAGATGACAAAAGACTGTAGTTACACAAAAAAACATGCCTGTGTTGTGCACAATTACAGTAGTAGTAGCCAAAACCCTGCATAAGATACTTAACATGAAGGATGTTATGTTTGATGTATGTTTTAAATCAAGTAATCCCTCCCTAACTGCCTCCCTCCCTTCTCTTTTTCCACAGTTTGAAAAAACAGACGACAACAGGGCGTAACTCTGCAGGACAGAGCCTGAACTTTTCAACCAGACTTCTCTAACGCCCACGCACATTTACAGTTACACATTAGTAGGAAGGCAGATCAAAGAGAGAGAGAGGGGAAAAACTACACCAGAAGGCTGTCAGTGGGCGGAGCTTAAATACTGAGTTATTCTGCTCTCCAAAAGCAGCCATGTCCAAATGTTCCCTCCAAAAGAGGGAAAGTCACAAATTGTTTCCTAAAGTGCTTATTCCAACATGTGCATAGCAAAATTAGAAAGGCAATTGATAGAAACTAGTTTCATGATGACGACAGTTGTTAGGTAATCCTGACCTACTAATCTGATTTCTCTCAGCAGTGCAGCCGAGCAGAAAATATAGCCCCAGTGCATGAGTCTGCATGAATATACAGAGAGGAAAATAAGTGACAGGCAATACTCGTAACACTCTGAGAGCATGCATTACCAGAAAATAAGATAAACATATTATGAATAAACAGTAAAAAGTAACAGCTTGGGCCTGTGACCCCACTTAGAGTCATCCTCCTTGATGGGATCAGTCTAAGATTAACCTCGTATTGCTCAACCTTTGTCTCTCAATGCATGTGTACATCTGCCTGAACACATTTGCGTTTTTGTTGCAATTTGCTGTTAAATTGAGTGACAGTGTACAGCCCCTTTGTAAAGTGTTGCTTTCCTGGTAGGATTGTCAGTATGCTTGGTGAAAGATCATGTTTACATGCATATCTCCAGGGAATCTTACTTGAAAAGTTTGGTCAAAGTCCTAAAATGAACTTTTATGCAGATGTGTCGAGTGTGCTTGTCATACCTGTCTGTTAATATCTGCACCAGCTTGAAGTAGCCATAACAAGCACTGAGGGTGGCCCCCAAACGCAGCAATGTGAGTGGGCGTCTGTGCAAACCTGGAGGTCACAGCATTCACTCCACAGCCCACCTGAACCAGACGCATGACACACTCCAGCTGGAAAGACACAAAGCCCATGCATTAGGAGTCAGAAGTATAATGTGCAATGATTTATTCAATCATTACTTCCCACAGAGACATTGGGCACGTTTGGACAAGCGTGTTAGAGTAGAGACAAAAATGCAACACTATTGTGTGGCCTGGAGTCTTCATATCTATTACTGGTTGGCTTGCATCCAATTTATTTGACTTCAGGCCTGCCCTTCCTAGGGTGTCGTTCGCAAAACAGATATTGGCACATGTAATTGTGTGGCTTAGAACAGTTCGTTGGAAAGGTGTCGTTTAAAGTTGACTTGCAAGTCGCCACTTGTTTTCATTGAGAGGCTTTTGAAAAGAAAGAAGTAACACAAAAACATATAGACAAATACATATATATAATAACTTTTGCTAAGATACAACTTTTTATTATAATAGTAACAGTTAGCAGGTATCAGTTGAGTGAACGTTAGCTTTCTTGTAACGTTCCAGTTGCTTGTCAACGTCTCATGTAACGGCCATTAAGTTCAAATAAAATTGTTCCGTATCAACCATCAACGTAAGTTTTTTTTTTAAGCCAACGCTTTCACGTAACTTCACATAAAATGAAGAATTGGTAGTTTCTTAAAAACCAGTAAGGTGGTGAACAGCGTTAATTTGACGTGTATGGTCCATTGTCTGCATCCAGTAAACGATGGCTGCGTTTTAAATCTCATCCGCTTACAGTGAGGCTAAACATCAGGAAATGGCCGAGACGAGGCTTGTGCGTTGGCGCTCATTTTGGAAAACCATTTAGAAAAAACTGGACCGCCAAACACGCAGTTGCAAGTTACCTTTCCGAAATGAGCGGCCCAATGTATGGGCGTCCAGCCGTAGAAGGTGTCCTCCACCGAGAGGTCAGCCGGGTTTGAGGTGCGCTGAAGGAGGGAGCACAGGGCTCCGACATCTCCATCCCTGCACGCCCGGTGGAGAGGGAAGCGGCTGTTTAAGACCTCCTCACTCGAGAATCCAGACTCCAGACCCACCGACATTGTAGCAAAAACTATAAATAATAGCTAACTACTCCAAAACAGACAACAAAAATGACTATCTATTGTTTTATTCTGGTCGTTGTTGGGGTGCCTGTGTATCAGGACACGCGCCACCCTGCCTGGTACGTCTTTCTGCCTGACAACACAAAGCAGACAGCACGCGCCGGGGTGAAACTTGAGAAACGCGAGTGAGCTGAAAACTGCGGACTGGATTTGCATCATTCTGGACTAGATTTACCATTACAGGCTTTGTTCTTGTCCTGGAGCATTGTCGCCCCCTTCTGGAGAGTAGGGTGGGTCTGAATCATTGTTGGAAATAATGCCTTTTTATTTTTTCTTCAATGGCCACCAGGGGGCAGAAGAATTTCAAAAACGTGTTTCCAGTGCAATTGCTTATGTCACTTCATTTTTACAATTTAATAAAGTTATTACTGGCTCTTTTAATACTTGAATATGTCCACGTCCTTTAACTGCTGCTATATATTACCATGGATGTATACTTATTTGATTTGATTAGCGTTTGCTTGCCTCCTTATTTAACATGTCAACTTGTATTTTATCTGCACCTTGCCTTTGCTGTTGTTTTAGTGTTATTATGATTTGTGCTCCAGGCTAAATCTGTCAGCTTCATTATTTTCATTAGTTTTTTTCTCAAGAAAAAAAACGATGATAAATCAATTAAAAAAGATTTAGAAAAAGAATAATTTTGTTATGAAATGCACTTGAAAAATTATCCCCTTTTGATTTAGCTTTGATATATGAGTGAGGTATGGTGATACTTGCTGCTACTTCAATCAATCAATGTTTATTTATATAGCCCAATATTACAAATGTTACATTTGTCTCAGTGGACTTCACAGTTTGTACAGAATATCAGTATGATAATATGACACCCTCTGTCCTTAGACCCTCACATCGTACAAGGAAAAACTTCCAGTTTAAAGGGGAAAATGTGAGAAACCTCAGGGAGAGCAACAAAGGAGGGATCCCTCTCCCAGGACGGACAGACGTGCAATAGACGCCGTGTGTAAATCGAAGAGATAATAAATGTTACAGGTAGACCAAATGTTTGGAAATGCATGTGTCTATAATAAGAAGATGAATCCAATGTCAACAATCCTGTGGGGGCCATCAGAGAAGTAGTATGATGAGAGTCAGGCAGGACCACAGTGATAGGTTCAGCCACAACTCGAAGTCCAGGACTCAAATCCAGAACTCAAGATAGATGATCCAGGACTCAGGATTGAATTGATGAAAATGACATTGTTGTGATAGTGCAAATGTTTTTAAGAATTCAAATTTCTTATCTCTTTTAAATGTTCTAAAGTGTTTAAAAACAATAATCAGATGCACATTTGTTGACACAGATAGTAACTAGTCCTTTCTCAAACCGATGTCAGTGCAATGAGTGCAATGTCTATGTAAAAATGTGTTCTGAAGTGTAGATGTTTTTTGTTGTTGTAATAAATTCCATTTTTATTTTACTATCTACCCGCCGAATCCATAGGCCGAATCTCATCGAAGAAACAGCGGAAACACAAATAGAAGGATGTTGGATTATAAAGACTTTAATTTTTACACCTTTAAAGGTATTGATGAACTTGTCTAACTCAGATAGCTGCAGTCTCACATTACCTTGAGATTAACTTTAGAAGTAATTTTGTAAACACAAAACAAGGACTGTGCCCTTGTCCCTCTTTCATATAAATTGTGCTGCCCCTTTAAAGGCCCTGACACATCAAGCAGTCACCAGAGGACTCGCCGACGTCGGCTGTTGCGTCGCGGTGTTCTCCTGCGTCTTGGCCATGTGTCACACGGGAACACACCGCAAAGACTTCAGTGCGTGAGTGGCAATAACTCTCCTTACCAGCAGTAGTGTGTATTCGTCATTAAAAATAGGCAACAACCGGAAGACAGAGAAGAAGAACAGACTGCGTGATATAAACAACAACAAATAGCGTGTGCAAACTGCAGCCTGGTTATGATCCACTGCTGTCTGCCCGTCTTTGGTGCTCCACAACTACCCGAAGGGGCAAGTCTCCTGTACCGGGTGTACTGGGTTCGCAGAGAATCCCACTTCTTCCTCGGCTCTTTCTCTGAAGCACACAAATAAACGATGTAAGCATTGTGGCTAGTTAGCATGTCCAATTCATATCTATATGCAGTGCGAAACTGCACAGCTAGCAACAAGATAACAACAAAACACAAGGTTGAAATAACAAATTACATTTCACGTTAACGTCACTGTACGCTGGCAAACAATAAAAAGCCAACAATATCTGCTAAAGAGCTCAATTGATGAAAAAGATAATCTTACCCGAGAAACCAAGTTGCGTTTCAATCTCTCGCCAGAGTCCGGTTTTCACTACTCGGTTCGAGTACCTTTTCTCTGTGATGTCGTACAGAGCTGGCCTCTCCTGGATCAATGTGATGAGCAGGTCTTCGTTTGCGTCATTCCAGATCGCCATGATGAGATGAAAATGAATATCAGTCTGTGTGTGCCTTCGTAAATCGTTTGTTTACGTCCCTCACTTCCGTTTCGCTTCTCATGCACTGATTCGCTAGCTGAACAGCCAATCAGAGTAATTGTTTGGTCCGACTGTAATTGTTTGGTCCGACTGCCAGACCCGATGCATGTCACGGTCGACGGTGCGGGACACACCAAATTGAGTTTGGGCGACAGGACACGCTTCGTCTCCCGATTTACGAAAACAGCCGAAATCGGCCTGGTGTGTCAGGGCCTTTAGAGGGCCTGCAAAGGGTTTTGGGTTTTGCACTGTATGTCCATAAATGCTTGCCGTAGTTTCCTGTTTCTGTCTGTCAGTGTCTAGGGTTGCGTTCCGATAATCCAAAAATCAGCTCCTAGGTTGCGTTCCGTTAATCCAAAAATCAGCTCCTAAATTCTAACCCTATCTCCTATTCCTTGACCTCTGAGTGAAACGTCACGGGGTTAAGGGATAGTGGATAGGATAATTCAAAAAGGATTTAGGAGAAGAGACTGCGGTACATTAAAGCAGTGATTCTCAAACGTTTCTCAATAATGTACCCCCTTTGAAAAAAAAATTCAGCCAAGTACCCCCTGATCAGCGCAAAAACAATTTGTTAGGGAAGAAATGCCTATATAAAGAGGTACAGTACAGTGCTGCACCATCGGTGTCTGATTTATTAAAACAACAACCTTGTAACTGAGAAACACTTAAATGCTACATTTCAGATGTTTACAATCCATCACTAAATTCATGGCAAACCAATTTTAATAACATGCAATAACACTAAGACGATATTAGTTGCATTTAACTGATCTTTGTAATAAGTTGTACTTACAATTTAGTGAGAAACATGGGCTTGTGCTTCACTGAGGATCTTTGTTATTCTCAGTGACAGGAAGGCCACTGCAGTTATTACACTTCGCGTTTTGAAATATGTGTAACTCTGTTAATATAAAACCCACACTGCTCAAACTTTTTTTTTTTCATTAACATAAAATAAATCTCACGTACCCCATGCAGTACTCCAACGTACCCCTAGGGGTCCGCGTACCCCCATTTGAGAACCACTGCTTTAGAGAATCCGAATGCACTTTCACTATCCAACGTGTTTATGATAGGCCAGCGGACGTCATGAATGTGCGTCTGCTGCTGTGGGGAAACTATGGAAACTACAGTTTTCGATACAGCGGACTACAACATGGATGTATAATAAGAAGGAGGGACTACTGTAAACTCATCTAGAGACTCTGCATCGTGATCTGATGCTGTTGTTTTATGCTTTATGAACGTGGACAACAGAGAAACATATTCTTCATGACCAAAGTTGGTATTGAAATAAAAAAGGAAAGTGAAACGTATGCTCTTCACCCTCTCCCTCCGGTCCACACCATTCAAACATATTTTAAAAGTTAAACAAACTCCACACAGCTCAGTAAACACTGTGAAATGTTGACTTTATTTGATCATTTTAGTAAAAACTAACGTTCATATTTCTCTTTGATTATAATACTGATGAACGTTCAAAACAAAGCACTTTGGCAACTTACCACACACGTTTTAAAATGCTTAATAAGCACCGTAACTTTCATGATATAATTTCTCCGTCATAATCGGTTGTTTCCGTGAACGGCCGACTGTTGAGTGACGGCAAATGCTGCGGCTGCAATGCATTGTGGGGCAGCATTTTCTCCTCTCCTTTCGTCAAGGGAGGTCCAGTGGTTCCTAAGCTAAAGAAGGTTATAAAGGAAGTTTGAAACCTCCTTTCCTTTCATTTAGAGAATTGGAACGGCACTTATCATGGCTGCCACTGACGTACTTTCGGGTAATTTCAATTGGTTAGGAAGGTTCCTAAGCTAAATGGACTATTGGAACGCAACCTAGGTGTCTATGGGTCACATGGGTGGTTTCCTGTCAACAAAGTCCTTGCTCAAATCCTAGGGTCTTTATGTCTGTAAGTACCATTCCATATATGTATACTTAGTTGCACATTTAAATTGATTATATGCAAACATGTAGAACAATGAATGGTGAGCAGCAGTTGAAATGTTTGTAGCGTTTATGCTAACAGGTACTCTGCTGTTTAGTCTTGTTTATCTGTATTTAGTGCTTAATGTGACAACGTCTCGTGACTGTGTATTTTGTTTGTATTTCAGTTTTACTAAAATGGAAATGGAAATTAATCAGTAAACATCCTAAACTGACCTGCTGTCTCCTGGATGTTTATTCCGGATCGTGTTAAGCTATCTGCCAAGCCTGCACTTCCAAAATATTCTTGCAAGTGCATAATAGTAAAAAGACAACCACGCCTGTAGGATTTGCCACAGAAGATGGGATAGGCTACTAGTAGAAACAACCTCATTCTCCTGTCATCAAAGCTACAGTCTACAGCACGGGTGTCAAACTCATTTTCATCTCGGGCCACATCAGCATTATGGTTGCACTCAAAGGGCCGGTTGTAACTTTAAGACTATATAAAAATACATATATAAATGTTTAATATATATATAAAATAATGTATTATATCACAAAATGATTTAAAAAGAAAAGCCAGATTCTGGAGAAAAAGTCAAAATAAAAATAAAAAGTTTAATTTTGAAAAAAGTAACATTTTGGGAAAAAAGTCAGATTCTGAGAAAATATGAATATTTTGAAGAAAAAAATCAATTTCTG